CTCTTATACACATCTAGATGTGTATAGGAGACAGCTTTTCACCAATCTTCTTGGAAAGAATAACGATTACACATGACTGTCATGAATTTTGTATGTTCACTTTTCCAGGTGCGGTACGTATTTCCGGACCAAAACCGAGTAAAAACGCAATTGTTTGTACATTTCCTAACCATCTCAGTAACCACTACATCGATTTTATGGATGCAACGGGAAAGGTTATCAGAGGCTATATTTATTGTGAAAACAATGTACTGGTACGGTACGTTGTTAAAATTGGAAGCTTGTAAACTTATTAGGCCAATATTTTTACAAACTCAAAAGTGCACAATTTTTACTATAACCGATTTATTCCTTTTGTATTTATAATGACCCGTACTAGTGTAACTGCATACACTGGTTCCTCCTAGTTTAACAAAATTAGAGTTAGTCAATTGAATTTTATATAGCCGTTATTAAACAACAATTATACAGCCTTTTACACAGGCAGGACTATCTATTTCAAATTATTTAATTAGTGATACCACGAGTTTACAAACTCCAGTGTTACGTTGACGCAATCTCGCAATGACGTCATAATAATTAGTGCCGGATTCAAGTGGGGCCGAGCCGATTCTTCCCCTCCCTTAAAGTTTTCAAAATTTAAAAAAAATGCAATGAAAATTATAATTAAAATTTTTAAGTCTGAGAGTGCCATTTTAGGCCATCTAGGAGTGTCATAATAATACATTTTCTTACCGTACCTCAGGCCCAACCATCGTGGGGCTGAGGTGACCTAGTTTCTCAAATTGTGAAAGTCTCTTCGTGTCCCCCTGTATTTCGCTTTCCTGGAGCCGCCACTGATAATGATAAATTAAGTAAATCACCTTTGTTTTTTTTTTTTTGTTCTTCACATTTCAAAATGTGAAGAACTAAGTGAAATTCAAAAAGAGGAGAAAAAGGAAGACATCTTGATTGATTTTAAAAGTACTGTACATGCTTATCAGTAGATATAAATCATTATTATTATGAATGTTAGTTTGCACGAAATATAAGCGGGCATAATTATGATTACCAGCATAATTTTAAAAACTTTATGATGAGTATTCCAGTGGCAGATTCAAGGGGCCAGTGTAGCAGCAGTACTACTTGAACAAAAGAGGAGAAAAGGAAAAACCTCTTGATTGATTTTAAAAGAACTGTACATGCTAATTATGTAGATAATAAATCATTATTTTCTGTCAGTGTTAGTTTGCATGTAGTATTTTATAAGCGGGTAAAAAGGCTATAGGCGCCACAGCTTCTGGGGGCTTCGCCCCCCCCCCCTGGACCCTCACCGGGGCCCGTGGCGGGTCCAGGAAGTCGAAATAGAGGGGACCCAGGGAGGGTATTGCGTAAATAAAATGTCCACCCTCCTCATCCGCACAACTGTTGGGGCTGAGGTAAGAAAAAATATGATTATGGCACCTCCAGATGACCGGAAATGGCACTCTCAGATTAAAAGTTGAATAACAATTTTGTCTGTTTTTTATTTATTTTGTTTTTATATAATTTTGAAAAAAATAGGAGGTTGGGGGTGCCTGTGCTGACAGGGTTTCCCCTTGAATCTGTCACTGTTCAATATATAACAATAGGATTGACATAGCCAATTTTGTATCACAAATGATTAATCCTAAAATCAAGCGAAAGATATTTTTATTTGAAAGATAAACAATAATAATAATAATAATAATAATAATAATAATAATAATAATATTAATAATAATAACAATAACAACAACAACAATAATAATAATAATAATAATAATAATAAAAATAATAATAATAATAATAATAATAATAATAATGATGATAAGATTGCAGCGTTCGAAAAATGTGCTGGAAACAGTCACAAAAATTAGGGGCCAGCCCCCCCCCCCCCAGCACCGATGTTAAAGCTGTAGTTAGCGGCGCCCCTGCACTCGCCCGATCGACTCGCCCAAAACAAGCCTATGGGTATTTGGACGGTGCAATGCCTATAATTAGTTCACACAGTATTTTTGGGATGACTAGTAAGGTGGTAGGCCTATGAGGTGCTTTTTAACTGCTTAAGCGTCTGTTTTTTGCAT